GACCCTGTGCAAGATCAGGGAGGACAAAGAACAAGTTTTAATGGTTGCCCCCTTTTGGCCCAACTAGATTTGGTTTTCAGAGCTCATGCTCATGGCGTCTGCCCCTACCTGGCGAATTCCCCTGAGAAAGGACCTCCTTTCTCAGAGGCAGGGTGCACGCAATCTGGCACCCACACCCAGACCTCTGGAACCTCCATATCTGGTCCCTGGATGGGACGAGCAGGAACTCCGAGAACTACCTCCAGCAGTGGTAGATTTCTCAGGCTAGAGCCCCCTCTACTAGGCAGCTCTATGCTCTGAAGTGGTGCATTTTCACTACGTGGTGTTCTGCCCGAGTCGAGGACCCACGGAGGTGTAGCCTTGGGTCAGTGCTTTCCTTTTTACAACAAGGTCTTTAAAAGCGCCTGTCAGCCTCCAGTCTGAAGGTCTGTGTGGCTGCTATAGCAGCAAACCACGACTTCGTGGATGGCAGGTCTTTGGGAAAGCACAACCTGATAGTTCGGTTCCTGAGAGGTGCCCGGAGAGTAAATCCTCAGAGACCACGCCTTATCCCCTCTTGGGACCTTTTCTGTGGTCCTGCAAGGTCTGCATAAATATCCACTTGAACCTTTGGAATCAGTATAGCTTAGCGCTCTCTCTCTGAAGATGGCCCTCCTGATTGCGCTCACATCTCTCAAGAGGGTGGGGGACCTACAGGCCCTCTCAGTTAGTGATTTGTGTCTAGAGTTCGGGCCGGACTGCTCTCACGTTGTCTCAAGACCCCGGCCTGGATATTTGCCCAAAGTTCCCATTACTCCCTTCACGTTATAGACTTTATAGAAAATGCTTTAAACAAATGTGACTTTTATTTTTTCCTCACATTTTTTTTTTTTTGCTGTTGCACTGTATACATACATTGTGAATTATGAAAATAAAAAAAAAATGTTTTAATTTATCTTGAAAAAAATCTTGCACAAAATATAATTTTGTGAGAATCATCCTCAAACTTAATCTTGAACTTGGTAAAAACCATTATCTTTATTTAAAATGTTTCAAGTCTTGAATGTTTTTCCTTTGGTAATACTGAGATAAATCATACTGGGATGTATGCTAAAATTGTTGGACGTGGCGCCCTACCTAGAAAATCTTCCACCAGCCACCAATGTATTTCAAAGTGACGTTAATTAAAGATGTGCACTAGTTAACGTATTCAACTAATTTTATGCATTATTTTACACAGCTCTGTAATCATCATTTCGATGCAGCAAATCCACACAGCTCTTCAAGTGCACCCCATTTGTGTGGGTAGTGCTTTTAATGGAATAGTTCACCTAAACTGAATATTGTCATAATTTATCCACTAGCATATCTTTCTTCTTTTCTCAGCAGAGCACAAAATAAGATCATTTAACTTTTCAACCGTTTTTAAGGCATTTTTCAAATGCTCTGTCATTTTTAACACTTCCTCATACATATACATTTGCTTATCTTTCAACATGAGAGAACATTTGTTTCGCATCTTTTATTTTAACTCTATTAATATGCAGTATATCTGAAAATAAATGAATTAGTGAGTGTGCAATTAATATTCTACTGACAAAATATTCACCTATACCAAAAAAAAAAAAAAAAAGTGGGGCCAATAGGAAGTTGAATTTAGAGGGAAGTTGGATTATGTATAATGTCACCTTTGAATGGGCATGTGTGCCACATGATCCAACCCATTCAACAAAGTTTAGACACACCACTAGTCATGAACTACTTGGGCCTTATTTGAAGGTGTTACTGTCATGTTTGGATTGCCTGTAGTACAGAATACTTTTTGGCAAGTTTTTGAATCTTTTTAATTACGTAGTGGTGTAGTGATGTTCTTGAGATGTTCTTTACACAGTGTGTGAAACTGTTGCTTGTGAGAAAATAGAAATGGCTGAGAAGTCTGATGCTGTAGAAATCTCTGCTGTACAAAAGGCAATCAAAAGGAATATCTCAGATTAATAAAATGGGTTTAATGCACCTACAATAAATTGGGCAAGTGTACAGGAAGGTTCACACACACATATGTATATATAAATATATATGATAAATATATATGATAAATATATATATATATATATATATTTTTTTTTTTTTTTTTATTTATTAATTTTTTTTTTTTTTTTTTTTTTTTTTTTCACATATGTGAATTAATCGTAAAGTTGTCATTTGAGGAGCAATGACTTTTGGATAAATTTATAGTTATAGTATTCCTAGAGTTAACAATATTGTGAACCTTAACAGCAGAATACTGTAACAGAATGCTATTTTGGTTTACATGGTCTTGATATAAATTGAGAAATTTTATATCATTTTATACAGTTTTATATAATATGTATTCTGGTATTCTGGTATTGAATAGTTTCCCTATAGACCCTCATTGCAAGTGCATTCCTGTAACCATATGTTTTATATTACCCTTTTTAAAATTGTTCTCGAAAGTCTATGCAATCTAAGTGTTTATTTTTTAAATTCTATTAATGGTGCAATTTAAAAAAAAAAAGATTATGGCACATGACGTTTTAACCCTAGTCCTGTTAGCCAGATTTACGTATATAGGATGCACATTAATGGAGACAAACACACAAGCACACACACACAAAACCTTCAAGATGTTCCCAAATGAGATTACTTCTACACTTACCTCCATTTACAGCTTCTTCACTATTATTGACTCAGATGTCAAGATCGGTAATGCTGAGAAGAGTTGCTTCGCATAGCTCAATAATGTAAGCGATGGCCTGCAATACAATTAAAATGTATCTTGCAGTAATGGCACTAAAGGGCCGTGTGAACAATTTAGCCAATCAAATATTTATATAAATCTTTTTTTCATTAACCTGTTATTGAACATTTAGATCAATGCTGTTTGGCAAATTTTCATCCAAGGCCTATTTTAAAAGGCATTTCTTGCCCATCAAGGTTACATAATATTTGCTATTGTAGTGCAGGATGATCTTACACTTGGAAACACATTTGAAGGTGAATGTTACCTCAGGATTTTTAAATAGCACGTTGAGTGTTCTTTCAGTTGTTGATGTCTTTTGTGGATTCAAAGAAACTATATATTTGAAAAGTCCTAACAGTGTCCTAACACTGCCTCGGGACATTTATGAAAATGGAAAGTGGAAAGAGAATTTTTGATTTTTGTTCAACTGAGTTTATTTCCAAAAGGCACTCACTACATTGAATGTAATGGTTGCACAAGATACTGCAGATACTGCGAACAGCAATTTACTAGCATGTGCAGCCTGAAGTATAGCTCAAACATGGACATTTCAAAGTCTCAAGAAACATGTTTGTGGTACAATCAATACCATAGCATTATAACATATTAGCACGATAGCATGCTTTAGGGACCCATGTCTCTAAATTGTTTTGAATGCTTTAAATTGCTTTAAATTTTCATAGATTTTTTCTTATTACAGATATTCAGTCTGTTGCTGCATTCGCTCTAGACTATTGCAAACATGAAAACAGTAATTAACATTACCGCAACAACAAGCATTTTGCTGCAGCTGTAGATGTGTGTATGTGTGCGTTAACAAGTTGGTGGTAATGAGGTACCGATATTGCTTTAAATTTTCATAGATTTTTTCTTATTACAGATATTCAGTCTGTTGCTGCATTCGCTCTAGACTATTGCAAACATGAAAACAGTAATTAACATTACCTCAACAACAAGCATTTTGCTGCAGCTGTGTGTATGTGTGCGTTAACAAGTTGGTGGGAATGAGGTACCGATACGTGTGTCTGCCTCAGGGAGTTCTCATTAGTACAGTCAGCAAGACAACAATCCCATCAGACAAAGTGGTATTTGGTTTCAACACAAACACACAAACAAATATGTCACACACTCCCAGGCGATTAGCACAACATTATTTAGTGGTTTCAAAAGTCTAATCCAGAAACATTCTGGAAAAGAAGAGACAATAATTGTAAACCAAAGACAGAAACTTGTAAAAAGTGCAAAATTTAAAAACATTGTGAGATTTGCTCATGTACAGTTGGTATTTTCAAACAAAGGTTTTCTGGCAAAGAAAAAAAAAACCTTTGTAACATTTTCCTGTCAATCCTAAATGGAACTGCGCCCTAAACTTTCATAAAGCTAAAACGGTAGTATGCCATATACATCTTTCATTCACATGTACAATGTCTAGTAGACTTCAAACAAGTTTCAAACTAATTTTAAATGCTACCCTAATCATCCACAAATCAATGTAACATTGTGGTAACGTTGTGTATTCTGGGTGATAATTAAAGGTGCAGTAAGTGATTTCTGAGAAACGCTGTTGATATTTGAAATGACCAAAACAGACACACCCCTACCCAAAAGGATCACATCCTATCTTGATAGCTCCACTCCCAAATTTACAAACATGCTATACATCAGGCACCACCCCCATCATGAGTGGACACGCCCCTTACTAGTGATTGGCTACAAGTGTGGTGCTCGGTCCGATCTACTTTCAACAGCGTTTCTCAGAAATCACTTACTGCAATTATAAGCATCAAGACAATAGCTGTGTTTCTATTACCCTTCAAATTGTGCAAATTGAAAATGCGAATTGAAAATCCGCCCAATGGAAACACATCAGTTTCACAAAAACTCCCATATATCTAAAAAAAAAAAAAGTTACGTCTACATACGGTGGTTTTCCAAAAAAGGAGTATTTTGCAAAACTGCAATGGAAATTTTTTTTTTTTCCCACATTCGTCTCCGATTAAAAATAATGGCTAGTGCTGTGGCTGCGATATACGTAAACCTAGCAACATCTGTTGGCATGACTTATCGCGAGAGGAAAAAAATTCAGTTTTAGTTGCATAACATTGGTTATTGGAAACACCATCATTTCGCAATAGCTTTTTTATCTACATTTTTAAAATGTCTCAAAAGTTTTGGGCAGATCTCTAATGGGAACGCAGTTAATGACTTGAAGGGACAAGACACCCAAAAATGGAAAATGCCATCAACATGAAGTTTGGAGCAAAATTGTTGGGTGAATTATACCTTTAAAGGAAATAAACAGATACGTTCAGTAGTTTGTGATTAAACTCTACTAGACATTCTGCCTTACATGACGTCTACCATTTATGGCTTCTCTTCCGTCCCATTGTCATAAAATTTCAAACTTTGAAAACAGTACTGTTTAGCGACAGCTTTAGATATTTCATGAGAGCACAGCAAATTTTATGTCAGACATACCGTACAATTGAACAATTACAGTAGGACTACAAGCCCTGAGATTTATAGGTTAACTTCATAAATCTGGATCACATATTGATGCACTTAACTTCTTTTACAGGACAGAAGAGCTCCGTGCATATACAACCTATCACCAATTTAACATGGTTTCTTCATATTCAAAGAGTTTTATCAACTTTGATCATGGGGGATTCATGTCTCTTGGTAAGTTTCTCCATTTTGAATGGGTGGAAAATCTTGACAAACATTGTTTTTGAGCAGTTATGCTTCTTGACAAATGACCTTGAAGTACAGTCTGGCAGAAAGTACATTGAAAGTGCAGCACTTTCAGTCACACTTCAAACAAACCGCCAATGTAGCTTGCTACGGATTTTTCGTTTGTTGTCAAGGATGTTTGGAGAGATTATTTCCAACTTATACAAGCATTTTTCAGTGGTCTGAAGAAGAGAACGAGCTGTTTTCCAGTGCTGCTACTGTCACCATATTTCCATTATCAAGTTATCAGGACACAGTGAACAGATAAATGAACAGCAGAAATTGAGATTCTCACATCTCAGCTCAGGGAAAGGGCTAAACAAGGCACTTTAGGCATACATTATTTTTCTACACGGTTCCCTCTAGGGCTCCATCTGCAAATGGAACTCCTTGTCTTCAAGTTTTATCTCGTTTTCTTCCTCTTTGGTCTGTGGTGATAGAGGCATGAATCCGTTTTGTTTATTGGGGCTCTCCACAAAGAGAGGGAAGTTGGTCAGACTGGTGTTGACCTCTTTCTCAAGCTCCTCGTCCTCGTCCTCTGCCTCTTTCTTCTCCTCATCCATTGTGGGAGTATTACAGGTGAAGGAATCTAAGGCTTTCCGGCCGTCGTCTGGGATGTTCTTTCTCAACTCTTTGTTCTTGTTCCGCTTGGCTAGTTTTGTGACTGAACCAAGGCGGTTGAAAATGTTATCTTCAGAGTACGCCTGGCTTGGGTCGCTCCGTCGATGCTCATTCTGCTCAAGTCGTAGACGTAAGTTGTTGAGCTTTGTGTCGATGCTCTCCTGGGAGGATGTCTTGTAATTAGTGATGTCCAGGCTATTGAAGGCAGCTCGACGTTCAGGGGACAGCATGTCTAGGGAATGGGCCCGCTGGTCGAAACCCAGCTGCCTGCGCTCCATACTGCGAATAGTGGCCGCCCTCTGCAGTTTGTCGTGAACTTCCACGCTGAGTCGACGCCTGGTCTCACGAAATTCTGCTCGAACATTGGCCTTCCATTCAGCGGCGTGAGCCTTAATCTCACCCACCTTTAACAAGATGACAATGGTAAATAAACCTGTAACCCTTTAGTTATCCATGCAAATAATTTTTGAACCTTGTAAGAGTTAATGATGTATATGAGTGCCCACAATTAAGAAAAGGAAAAATGCATGCCAAATACTTGGAATGTAGTCTTTGTGTTGATGTTGGTTTAATACACTTTCATACAAAATAAATGTAACCATGAAGTAAACACTAATATTTTCTTGAACACATGTGAATTTACACATCTTAATGATTATTTAAAAAAAAAAATAT